TTTTTGTTGATTGTTTTTTTTTTTGCAAAATATAAAATAATTACGATGTCGTTTAACACTCACAATAACATATTTGGTTACCGGCCATTCAGCCATTCAGGTCGTACATGTGTCAAGTATACAGTCATATATACAAACGCCTAACTATAGAAGCCTATCATTCTTAATTTCTACTTTTCGCCCTCCAAAACACGAAAGTCGAAAAGTAGCAGTTACGACAAAATGTGAGGCGACAGCAACGCTATACAAGCCAAAATCGACTCGAAAATAGGAAATCAAGAAATAATACACTGCGATAATAGCGCCCCTCGTTTTTTTTCCTAATTTCTTATTTTCGACTTGCATTTTGGCTTGTATACCGTCTTGTTGACTTTCGACTTAGTCATATTTTTGTATTTATTGATGTCAGTAAGATGTTACTATGGCGAACGTAAATTTCAGATTATACATTCCAGACTTCGTAATTGTAAAAGTGCTCTAAACTTCCATAGATTTTTAATGCATATTTCACATAACCCGACATGCAGTTGTGGTCATACTCAAGAAGATAGCGACCATTATTTTCTGCACTGCCCAAATTATTCGTCTCAGCGTATCTCAACATTAAATACCCTCCCATTTAAATCCATAAATACAAAAGCGTTCCTATATGGCGATACCAACGAAAGTAACCCGTTCAACAAAGTGAGTTTTAGTAAAGTTCACAAGTATTTAAAACTAAACAAGCGCTTTGAATAGATAAGGTAATTGTCAGGCGACGATGATTGGTGTTAAATAGTGATGATGACGACCATGAAGATGATTTATTTATATATTTATTTATATACTAGAAGAATGCCCGGCTTCGCTCGGGGGGTCATAACTCCGAAACCGGAAGTGGTAGACTAACGCCACCTGGCCTATGTTACTCCCCGGTCCGAGCTACCCCTATACCCCAAATTTCAGACTCGGAAATGACAACGTGAATGATGGATCAGTCGAACGACAGAGTGAATGACAGGAGTTTTCCAGTCGAATAATAAAGATAATGGCAACTCTGGTCATAGCATATCTGTTTAAAATATATATCATATAAATGTTTATACACGTATTTGAAAAATACATTTAGGTCTACGTGTAATGTTGAATGTATAAATTCGGAAATGTTTTGATCTCTTGAACTGTATTATTTAAAATACACGATTAACGTATTAAATTGTAAATAATGAATCAAGCCAAGACATGTATTAAATGTTTTAAATGTTTTATTGAATTGGAATAGAAACTGAAAACAGATTAACACCCTGTGTGAGATATTTCATTCAAATATTGTGAAAGGGTTGGTAATAAAATTAAAATTGTCATTGTGTCATTTTAATAACATTGAATCGTCCTATTCTGTTACGTAGTCGTCTCAACATATTGTTGTCATGGGTTACTTCTGCTAAACAACTCAATAGAAACGAGTAAAGTATTATAAACGAAATTATGTCTAAAGAGTTCTTCATGACATGTATTGACTGTAAGCCACAAAGCGTACAGGATCTAAGTGTGATGTTAAAGGTCAACACGCAAATATTGAAATTGGGTATGTTCGTGGATTGACTTATAGAATGTTGTTAATATTTCCATTTAAATAAATACAAAAAGCAATTCGAAAAATAAACTATAAGTAAAGGAACCATCTCAGTGAATAAAGCTATTAATATGCCGTTAACCCGTGAGGCAAACCGAATGATGTTTTATAGTAAATTAGACGAATAAAACATATAACGTTGCCATCTCGACCCTGATGCCCATGAACACAAATGACGAGTTTAAGACAAACCAATTGCGGAATGGAATTGATTAATGCAATATATATTTTATTATGTATTGACAATACTTTTCTGGTTAGATTTTAGCCTAAACACGACATGTGTGTTGGTGACAATTTTGGCAGTCATATCTGAATGACTCAAAAACTGTTTATATTTCTTTAACTTTTGGTATACCTAAATTCGGGCTATTATTTATGGTAGAAAGATATAATAAAATGACCTAAAGCTTTAAAACATATTTTTAAATATGTTGAGGCACCCTAAATTGAATTTGAAGCACCAGGGATAAATAAATAAAAATAGCTATAATGCATGATTTTATTGTAACTATTGAACTGATAAATATTGTACAATTTATCTAAAGAGTACATTTATGAAAACGTGGTACTTTTCTGATATCTAGTTAAATTAACACTTACCCAGATCTTGGCATAAGCATGACTTAAAATGATCACGGCTAAAACACTTCCGTGCGAATCAAGAATTCTTTATGTAAGAATAGAGCTTTATAAGACCGTAAATGCACCACACATTATGTCTCCATAAGATGGTAGCTATAATCTTTCAATCCAATCCCCTAATTAAGTATACCCCCACCCAATCATAAAAAAATAATAACATAGCAAAACGGTGTTTAATTCTGATCATCTAAATTATCAAATGATATTCGCCGAAGTAGTAACTGAGAAGGGCGTGTTTTAAGATATACATAATGTATCTTACTATTTTTCGCTTATATAATTTGATTTTCAAATACAAACCATTAATACTTATCTTAGCATTAAAACAATCAACCATTTGTGGTTATATTGAAATCTGTAAAAGACGCATTCTTTTTGAATATATTTTTAAAAAATAATAAATGGAAAAAAACATATTATTAACGCTTTTTCAACAAGCAATTGTTATACTCTTAGTGATTTGTAGAGCGTCAAATCACAATGTTATTGTACTGTTTTAAATTGTAGATTTTATTCATTCATGTAAAACATTTATTACAATTTTATAATAAAATGTATAAAACACTGAGTTCGAGATTCAAATCACAAATCCATCCAAGCTAGGATACTGCAAATCCGAATATTTTTGTTTATAAAATATTTACTTTCCATTCAATAAATATTCCAGTCATCTAGTTTTGGATTTGGGGAAATTCATTCTCCTTTTCCCATATATACATATAAGAAATAAATAAATTTTGTCGTGAATTCTACTTTTCGAGTTGCATGTTTAGCTTGAATAGCGTGATGGCGACTTGCGACATATTTTCAGAAATTTGGAAATTCACACATCGCGATATTCACGAGCTATCATGTTGATTTTCTGTCGAACTGTAGATTTTTCGAGTTTCGCAATTCGCTTTAATGAAACGATCTGTGTGATAGAGTCTAGCATATACACTATCAAATAGTATCAATACTAGACTTTATAAAAACATTAATCTTTGTATTCTATTCACGCCTATGTATACACATATGTTTTGATAAAGGCGTAAGATCCCAGAATTGTTGTGGTTTTTTTCAGGGTGTGGGGAAAAATTTTGTGGACGAGAAAATTCTCTTGCGTTAGCATGTTGTTTCCACCAGTCTCCTACCAATATGTTACAACATACGAACGATTTTTGCCTCATTTCCTGACTTGACCACTAACTGACCGCAATGACTTCTAGATGGCCCCTATGACCCCATTATTCATGCATTTTTATATGGCCATAGTGAAGGTTAGATCTATATATTAAGGCCACATGCAGATTTCATCAAGATCACGAGAAGTAAACAAGTAGGTTAGGACCCGTGATTGTTGCAGTTCTTGCAGAGGGTTGTAGGTTAGGATTAGGACTGGGTCTAGGGTTAGAGTTACCTCAGTTACAACTCGTGACCTTGACGAAATCTACTAGTGATCTTATATTTAGACCCAATTTAAAAATTCTCTTACACTGATTTTCTTGAAGATTGGGCGTCCGAATGACTAACCAGTGCTTTTTTAATCAGAAGGTCTGTCACTGAGTCAAATGGCATGGTCTTCTAATATTTAGAACCGATTTAATAATTCTCTTACGCTGATTTTCTTGAAGATTCGGCTGGGGGATCCGAATGGCTAACGCGTGCGCGTTGAATTAGAAGGGTTGTTACTCTCCCTCTCTCTCTTTCTCTCTCTCTTGAGGATTGACGCTGTTCATCTTATTCCAATAAGTATCACACAGTTGATAATAAGGCCTGTTTGGCAGTGTGAAGTAACGAATAACAAAACAGAACAGTAGGGCATATTCTATGCAATGTGTTTTACGGGACAGTAGCATTACTGCCTACTATTATTTCGAATTCCCTCTGTCACGGGTTATTTACCTATACGGAACCTTAGGTTTTTGACCCATCCGAACCCTTGACCCAACCCGTTACCTCCTGACTAGCCAGTCAACGTCTCACTAATTTAGCCACCGTGGCTTCTAAATGATTTACAAGAAGGATATCTTATCAGTAAACCACCTTCTACTTACATCTATGCCATAAAACAAGCCACTTTGCTTTTCGAGTCTGAATAAGAATAATGAGATAGAACGTGTTTCGTTGTTCGGGATTCAAATGTTGAATAACGAATAACGAGACAGAATGAAAGTATTATTTTTTCTTAAAAATTTGGAATCATTATTCCCAATCGGTCAAGTAAAGTTTTATCTATATTTAATTGACTAATAAGAAGAGTGCCTCAGCAGTAAGCAAAATAAACCCTTCTGTTCCCTTGTATGTCATAAAAACAATCCATTTTGCTTTTCGAGGTTTAATAACGAGCCCGGGCGTGTTTCGATATATATTCTACATATCCTCTAACGAGGATGCCGAATGTTGATCATTTTCAATTCAACATATTTATTGAACGAAATTTAACAGTTTTTAAAACTGATTCTCCTTTTTAGAAATTATGTAATATTTCCTACTATACCAAGCTATAAAATAAATGTACGCTGAAAAAATCTTGTGTTAAAACTAATCTACACAAGTTTGTGTTGTTTTGTATTGTATTAACACAAACGGGTGTAGATTTATAAAATCTTGTGATTTTTCCATAGCATTAACACAAGTAATGTGTACCATCGACAGGGTTTACTGTTAGTTAGTGTTAAGTTGTATGTCTGGTTGGTCCGATAACTGGTATATCAAAGGAATATATCGTGAGTGTACATATGAATTTAGACAATGTGCATCGAAAGTAAATGAGTAAATCTCTTACATAATGTAAGTTATGTAGTGAAATTAGCATCAACATAGTGCTTTAGCTTTAGCAGTGATATTTTCGAAAAATATAATGGTCACAGAATACAAGACCGCAGGTTTGTAAATCTTTACAAAAAAAAATAATACCATATATTTAAAATACTTATTTTCGTTTAAAACAAACAAGTCAGATTCAGTCTCGGTCACCCAGAACCTCATAGTCTTCGTAGAATATTTTTCTGGGTGATAGAGACCAATTCAGATTCAGAACAGTTTCACCGGAAGTGCGTATTTATATAATGGCGGGCAAGGAAAAAATTTCGTTGCGTTATAAAAGCGTTCCGGTCAGCAATCTAAAGAATCTGTCTTATTTTTTTCTGAAATCATGTTTATTTTTTATTAGTTGTTCGTTGCTACGCCGTTATTGAAATACTTATAATTACAAGAAACCCCACGACTGGGACCAACAGGTAAGATTCTCTCTTGATTTCATGTAGTACCCGGGACAGAATGGATGATAATTGGCAGCCATCTTTGATTGTTATATACGTTCTGACAAAATGAAAAAAATATCATAACTTTGGTGTTATTTGTTTGGTTCAAATGTAATCTAATTTCTGTAAAAGAAAAAAAACAACAAACAAATAAGCAAATATGTCCGCAAACACCCCGTTCAGCCTTTAGGTCAATGTTATAATATAGAGTTTGTCTATAGTTTCGATATTTTTTTCAGTTATGTGGATCCCTCCCACTCTTCCAGTTTCAAGCAATTATTGAGAATTTACGATGTATTCCACAAAGAAAAACTGGTAACAATTTCAATTTATTTTTCAATAATGCCCAACAATTGTTACTGTATGTATTACAGTGCCACGAAAAGTGTATATGAGATAGTTATATCTAATAGAGAGAGAGAGAGAGAGAGGGGGGGAGAGAGGTGAGGTTTAAAGTCACTTGACACAAACTAGGCCTACTTGTATTAAATTTGTCGAATCAAGTAGGTCCATGCTATATATATATCCTAGAATCAAGTCCGACGGTTCTGTTTCCGCCCTCTTTCCCGATCACTGTCTCATTCTATTACCATCTTTGTATGCTGTGTCCTAATAATTATGCATAAACCTTGAGGTGTTTATGGTGTTTGTTGGATAGGTCTCTTGAACTTACTGGCGCCAGGTAATTTCGGGACTAATTTATGGTTCAATTTTATATGAATGATTCGCTCGTGTGTAGGTGTATTTAGTAAAGGGCGGAAACCAGAGGACCCAATGAAAGCCCACAAGGCTGGATAGGCGAATCGAATAAAAATATGACCTATTTCAAAATGATATTTGCATATAAAGAAAGTACAGAAGTACATATTTATAGAAACAAATGGAATCTCTGAAAACCAACAATGGGATATGCACAAAACAAAAATATAAGGGTTGCTACAGCCTATGAATTCCAACTACCAAGGAATCTATTACACATTTGCATAGCACAAGGAAATAGCCATATACCCAACTTCATTAGCCCAGTCGGAGCAGAGCAGCAGAACGTTAAACCCATTTCATTTCATTTTTTTTTATTTGGTCTCATCTGTGACAAAGCAAACCAACACATCACACATACAATATAATTAAATTAACACTTTCCTTTTTTAACTGTTTAGTCAACTAATACATAGTATGTTTCGAAATCCATCGAACCGGAATATTTTGACATGAGTGGAATTCAACCTGGCTTACAATAAGTCACCATACAATAAAGGAGACTCTAGTGAAACCGTGTGCGTAGTATGGCTAATGGGGCCGGGCCTTCGAGAAAGAAAATAAACGGAAAGTAGTCTTTTTTGAGAAATTCGGTTTTGTCTGATAGCGACATATTTCTTTTCTCAAACGAAAGAGTGTTTAATCATGAATGTGCCAGGGAATAGGTAATATTTTGAAAGAGGGATAAATAAATAAATACTTTTCGCTCAAGCATTACACGATAACCCGTATTTTAATGTTTAAATACCCACCCACCCACCTCGCACTAACTTAATAGTATTTAGCTGTAATACCTTTTGCAAGCTATGTAAATTAAAATGTGCCAGATTTACATTTCTGACAAGGTAAATTAAACTTCTTTTCAGTGGCATTCTGTGTGATATCTGGAATGTCGTAGTGTGAACGGATTTTGACATTTAAGACCCCACCCACCCCCTCCCAATCAATTAATAGAGTTAATGGCGTACACCATTTCAAGTTATTTTCTGGCACATTTATATTTACATAACTTGAAAACAGTTTCACGGTACTAAACTTTAGTAAGGGAGTAGAGGGTTGGGATATTTAAAGTAAAAAAAAAATACGATCGTAAGCAGAAATTCTCGATACCTGTTGATATACAGCTGAAAGTATGTTAATTGTTTGCTACAAAATGTAAATTATTTTCTTGCACATTTGTAATTACATACCTTGAAAAAAGAACAAAATTGAAATGACACTAACATGTATTAAATATTGAGGGATGGGGGTATTTAACGTTAAAATACGGGCCATAACACAAAATACAAGATATCGGGATGCATACCATTAAACTCTATTTAGTGGTGGGGGGGGGGGTAGGAAAGTCAAAATACGCGGCTTAATACAAAATTCCAGTTATCGTAAAATGTTTCACTATTAGCTAATTGACTGGCACATTCATGATTACAAGATTTAGAAGAGATAAAACCCTCTTTCGTTTGTGCAAACAAATATGTCGCTATCAAATAATAACCTAATTACTAAAAATGACTACTTTCAATTTATTTTATTTAATGCTAGATCAGATTAACAACATATATATATACATGTATATATATAACACGCACGCGATTTCAGATTTCACTAAAGTCACGGTCACCGAGCGATATTTTTTTATTGTATATGTTTGCCCGAGTCTCCTTTGTTGTATTGTGACTTACTGTATGCCAGGTTGATTTCGGCTTATGTCGTCATAATGTTCCGGTTCGATGCATTTCGAGAAATGTTTTTGGAGAAATGTTATTGAACAAATGTTTTTGGAGAAATGTTTTGCAAGATTTGTATTTGGAGATTTGTATTTAAAAATTTGGTGTTCGAGATTTGTTTTTCGTTGTATGTCTATGATGAAATGTAAATTTACAAAAATAATTTGTCTTTATATTAAAATATAATTAAATAAAACAAAAAAAAACATTTTATAAATCTGATATGACAAATGTCTAATTTGTAAAACAAATAATGATTTTAAGATACAAATGTTAATTTTAGTGTACACATGTCGAAATACGACAACAAATGAAGAAATAAGATTTTTAAATGGACTATGAATTAAGAACTAAGAATTAAGAACACTGAATAAAGAGTTATTTGGTTTTCCATATCGTGCAAGATGTGGTTATGCATGTACAGTGTATCTAAAAAATACATTCAGGTCTACGAGTGAAGTTACAAGAAAAATGAATAATTTGTATTTAATGAATAAAGCAAAGCCATATCCTATTACATGTTTTATTGAATTGAAATATAAAGCAAATGCAGATTAATACCGGATGTGGGATAGTTCTTTCAAATATTGTCAAAGGGTTGGAAATAAATTTGAAATTATTATCGTGTTATTAAACATTGAGTATTTCTATTCTATTCTGTAGTCCTCTCAACATGTTGTTGTCATAGGTTACTTGTGCTAAACAACCCAAAAGAGACGAGAAATGTATTAAAATATAACTTCCATTTTTAATACGTACATAAAAGTATGTATAAAAATGACAATTTATTCAAAATCAAACAGGGACTATTACTTTCCCAATAAAAGTAAACCTACTAAGCTTTACTATGATGGAACAGCATTAACTGATAGCAACAATCATAAGAAGTTGTCAATGTAATGGGGCTGTTTATACTAATTAAACTGTTATCAAAGTACTTATAGTAAATTTATTGTTTCAGAAATTTAAAATATCGTTTAAGCAGACGGTCGCTAGAAACAATATAGAGAGCTTTCATATTACCGTTATTAGACTACGTGGACGTAATCTAAATTAACTGTACTAAAAACGAAGGCACTGTACTTGAAAACGTAAATCTTGATGTCCTTAGAACAACCACTGGATTAGTGAGAGCTGCATCTATTGGTTAATGAATCAGGGTTCACTTCGCTTCAAATTAGACGATATCATTATAATGTAAGCCAGTGTTACAAAATGGCGAATTTGTCTATCCTAGTATCTCCGTAATTCCCGGATATAAATCCTAACCAAACGCGGATCAATACTACATTTGATCAAAACTCCTCGCTACCGGGTGTAATATGTGACTGGAATAATTTACGCGATCATATAAAATCGTCTCCTACTTGAATAAATTGAGTTTAAATCAATGCTGGGGTGTCCGTTTGTTTTGTTATCCGAGGGAAGAATTGAATTTGTGTGGCTATTTGCAATAACTTGATATTCTTGAGTACTAACGAATATGTCTTTTGCGTGGGGGCGTTTGAAAATATTTAAATGGTTTCAAATTATTTTGTTTTTGTTGTTGGTGAAACCACTTTTTAATTTGGTCAATTATTGTTGATTGCAAAGATTTTATTTAATTTTACATTCGTTGGAAATATTTTGAAATTTTACTCTTCTTGACAAAATGTTTTAGACAACAGAAATTTTGAATCTGTAGAAAGCTTGAAAACTAGTAGATCTTATTTAAATTTGACACAAGGCTGATTTATTGAGTCGCCTCAGTGGCAGCTGTGTTTTCATGTGCTCTACATTTTTAGTGTTTTACTCTGTTTTCAATTTGATTGCTTTTATGAATATTAGCATACAACTACTTTAGCTTGTATTGCTGGGTACACTGTACTATTTTATTTTGCCAAAGAATTAGGTTTTAGAAAGTTATTGACATTTGTCTAAGTTTGTGTTAATGTGCATTTTGCTCAGACTTTTAAATGACTAGATCAATGTCTTGTGATCAGCTTAGTGTACCTATTGGGGTGATTACAACCGGTTTAGCCTATGTACCCCCCCCCCCCCTCCTGAATTTGAATTTCGAGGTATTCATTCCAACTTTAACTTGATTTATATAATATCTGTAATTCTCTAAAACCTTATTGTAGCAATTTTGGTTGAGTGCAAGAATCAAGACTCTCAATGATGTAAGATGGCAATTTTACCGTTATCAGTCATTACAACACAATGTCATGTTTGCCTAATCGGGTTTATATGGTAAAGTGTTGGACTTGTTAAAAGAGACAGGATTTCATCATAAATTTTAATTGTGTATATATATCATTTCATTTTTGTTTTTAAATATCTATATGCATAAAAGATTGATTTTATTTTTAATTTTACTTACTGTGATATTGTTTTTATTTATGCATAATTTTTTTTCTGTGATATAATTTAGCTTTTCTCGAAATAATCTCCAAATGTTTGGCGCAATATAGCCCGGATGGAGCTGACGGGCCATTAAACCACATTTCATTTTATTTTCATATTTTAGCGTCAATGCATAAGATAACTAACAATTGTCATTTCTCTAGATAGTATCGTTTCCCCAGAATCTGTCATTTCCCCGGAAAATGTTACTTGCTCTATGATCGCTTTAAATGTCGATATATTTCATGTATAAACTGTATGTACCTGCAAGTTAGTCATGTAATAAATGTAATAATTGTAATGCAATTTCCCTTAACTGCTTTTGTAATACTTACCCCATATTGTAATAATTATACTAATGTGTTTTGCCATACAATACATTCGACATCTGATTTTCAAAGTCTATAGATTTTGATCACCATTATCGTATGAGTATAAAAGTACTG